GCATCCGATTCAAAGCTGGATAGACACTGACAGGTCAGAGACCAGGCTGGAGCCCAGCAGAGAGCAGTCATCTCATTCTGTGAAGGCTTTTAATATTTCAAAATTGAATTTGTTCAGATTCCAGATGAAAATCAAACACAAACATCTCCATAAAAGGGAAAGGCTCTCCAGCTCCAGCTGCCAGTCTCTAACTCCAGAACTCAGAAATTTGGGGAACCGGCGAACACAGCGGGCTGTCGGCCCCATGGCCCGAGATGACCCGTGTGGCGCAGCTGGGACAGAGTCACCACTCAGGAGTGTCTGCGGTTGGTAGCCAAGATTCACACGCTTGCAATGAGCAGCTTGGGAATGGCTGAGATAGACTGGTAATGTCAGCATGCTGCTGCCAGGCTCCCAGGCATCACGGATCCTGAAATAAAATGCTTGGGAGTGAGGTTGAAAGCAGCTTCTGAAATCTTGCTGTGTCCCCAGAATCTTCAAATCCTAAGTTACAGCTCTTTCATTCAGAAGCGTGGAGAATGGGCGTTAGAGGTGTCCATCAAGAAAACCTAGTAACTGTATATTTAGCTCATAAAAGATCATAAAAAACTATTCCAAGTCTTTGAAGATTTAGAAACCTGATGTCATCTACACCTGGAGAGGCTAAAACAAGTGTAAAAATGTGAGTGCAAATGCAAAGGGAATAGCTACATCCTAGCTAAGGCACATATGGAGCTCCCTTGCTTCGCACACAGCACTGACCTCCAAGAGTCCAGAAATACAGGCATCCCTTCCCAGCCACAGCCCAGGCTGCGGGGACGCTTGCAGCCTTGGTCAGTCCAGGCTCTGAGGGCAGCACTTCAGCCTGTTTGGGTATCTCCTACCCACGAGGAACAGATCTGCACTCCTCCGGAGGCACAGCGCCAACAGAAAACAACGTGCATGCTAAGCAGCTTGTAAGGCAAAGGAAAATGAGCTTACATCAGGCAACAGGAACTGTGTCACTAACGTGCAATTTCTGCTCCTCTCCTGTGCAGCGGGGATGCGGGAACGCAGCTCTCCAGTGGTCCTATGCTGCCAGAGTCGGCAGCTGAGCCCCTCTGCGCTGCCCTGGATGTTTGGCTGCTGGAGAGAAGGGCTGTGCATTGGGAAGAGCAGACTGACCTTCCTCTTCCAAGGCCAGCATATACAAATTTGGATAAGCATGGGTTTTTACAGAAAAGCAATTAACTCGCTGTTCTTTCAGAAGCAAGAAATATCTCATTCTGTTTCTTCCTGCAGTCTGATAGCATTATTTCTTCTTTGCATTTAATATTATTATGTCCAACTACTGCAGGGTGCAGGAAACCCCAAACAGCAAAAATGCAAATATTTTTTCAATTTACTCCTAAATGCAGCATAGAGAAATCTACTATAAATTCTCTGTAAAAAGTAATACAGACTTGAGCAGATGTTATTTTCTGCCCATTTCAGACATACCTAGTTTTTTAAACAATTGGACACATTGGAACAGTTAGATTGGCTGACTTTTGGCAAATTATCAACACCATGCACAACAAATACTGCCACACAGCAGTTTCTGTCAGGGAAGACAAAATAGGGAAATGCATAGCGTAGGAGGAACTACATATTCCTGCATAGTCCCCCCCCCTCCTACTGCTGCTGGATTTTGGAGAGCAACGTCCATTGTGGCTGCGGCAGCACCTCTGCCTGGCATGGAGTGCTCACACTGTGGTGCACAAAATGACCAATATCCGTCATGTGTTTCACAGCTGCTGTGCAGGAGAGACCAGAGTCTCTGCACGAGGAATTTCTGGCTTAAATAATCAAAATCACTATTTTGTAACTGGTCTTTAAAAACTTTGACTCATTGTGTCTCTTTTTTCGAGAGGCACCTGCCTTTGTCCCATCGTATCCATCTCTGAATTTAACTTTCTGCAGTTGTGCAAGGTTTCCTTCTGCAAGATATGTGTTGCAGGCGTCCCCCCATGTGTCTGCACATGGAGGATATCAGTGTTGTTATACACTGCCACTGCAGAGTATTCACTTCAGCTTTCACGGGAGCCATTTATGCTCTTAGGTTTTCCGATCCTCTGGTTCAAGGCTATATTTAAGAAAAGTGAATTTGTGTAGCTTTTGAGATCAAGATAAGAATGGCCTATAAATTGGCCTCTGAGACAAGTCCTCTCTATTCTTCTTCCAAATAATCCACTCTCTTTGAAGATTATTTTCAAAATTGCTTAATCTTTCCTGTGGTATAATACTAAAGTATGACTTTAAAAAAAGCCATTCAAAAAGGTTAAGAAAGCAGTATCACATTTTATTATACATTAGAAAAATTTTGGTTTAGAATAATAATTTGAGAGCATTTTATATTAAAACAGAGGGAAGACTCCATTTCTCTCTCTGTAAAACTGTCTAAATCTCTTCAAGCACTGAAAATTCTCGGAGTCTTTTCAATGTCCCGGCTGAGGAAAACAACAAAGTCAGTTGTAGGAATCAGTCAGCTATTCCTTCTCCACACAGGAATTGCTAGGATTTGATCTTGCCTTTTATAGGCTTTTGAGATTCAATCATTGAAGTCTTTTATTTCTCCATTCATTGCAGAGGTATTCAAACAGTTTGCTTAATCTCAGAGTGAGGAGTGGTGGGGTTGGAGGGGAACAAACCCCAAACACCAGATTTCAGAGAGCTGGCATGTAGAGGTTTGAAAACAAAGTGTTGTATCCTAGAGAATTAGGTTAATTCTAGACGTGGTACCATAGACAGCCCATGGCTTCAAGTTCTGTGACTAAGTGGAAAGAAAACAGCATTTCAGCAAAACCAGCCATCAACAAACCAGGGCAGCGAGAGCGGCTGAGAAGTACTCAAAGACAGAAAAACTAATAGTAATGGAAGACGTGAATTACCCCTCTGTAGACTGGAAGTGCTGGAGCAGGGCACGGTATAGCCTTTTATAGCACTAAGCACTAATTAGAGCAAGTAGCTGGCAAAGCCACAAGGGAAGTCACTCTTGGTTAGTCCTGAGAGCTGTGCATGATCTGGAGTGCGATTTAACTGCTGAAAAGCCTCTTAGTGCCTGTAATATGCTCGAGCATAACAGCTCTGTAGGAATGAGAGCGCCAAAAAAACCCCAAACCATTCAGTGTAATAACTTTTAACTCTAAGAAAGAAAATTCTGTAAATACAAGAAAGCGAGGTAAGAAGAAGGAAGAAGAGCAAAAAAAACCTGGTAGGATGCTTGCGGGAAGCTTGGATGCTACCTAAATACTTCATAGCAGAGGTTCAGAGTCAACCTGTACGATCAGTCGGAAAAAATGTCAAAAAGATTTCCTCCTCTTTTTTGGATAATATATTAATGAGCATTTTCCCAATGGTTTTCAGCAAAACATAGTGGTTCTGGGACATTTCTTTTTATCTGATCACATTCCAACCTATGCATCATTCGCTGCTGTTAAATATTGATCACCAGTGCATATGGATCAGTGTTCATCCTTTCTCATCATGACTGGTACTAATTGTATGGGCCTGGACCGATTCCCTCCTCTGAATGACTCCAGCATCTCCTGGAGAGGTCTGAATATTGCTCAGACACTCAGAGGTTTCTCCAGTCCCTAGAACGGCCTGGTCCAAAACCCCAGATCCAGACATGTCCCAACTCGGGAGGGTTCGGAGTCAAAACCTAATCCTGAATTTCACTGCTTGTGCCCCCATCCCCAGCTATTACTGGCTCTGGGAGACGGAGGGCCCTGCAGCCACCCCCCCTCTTGCTGCTCATGTAGGCAGGGGTGGGCACAGCCCCACCTGGACTGCAGGCGTGGATGCTGTGGGCACCTTGTGGAGACCCCTGCTCCAGCAGCTGGGTGGAGGTTGTGCTGTGCTGGCCCGAGCGAGGAGCTGAATGCCTCCTGAGCTCCCACATGGCCATCCGTGCTTGCACATGCGTAAGCACAGGGCTAGGTTCTGCTGTGAGCAGGTGACGGGGAATTGAGCTGGGGGGCACGGCTGTGAAAATACATCATGTTCTGCTTAGGATTGCATTGGTATCGAGGCAGAGCATCTCCACAAAGGTGAACAAGTTCTGGATTTACACGTGATTCTGCGCTACGGTCAGGGAAGGTGTGCACACTCTCATCTGCCGTCTTGGTGTAAGCCCAGGGTAACGCTGCTAGAGATGGGGAAAACCATCCGAATTAATGGAGGGTAAGTGAGCTTGGTGCCCAGGAAGTCGGTGAGTAGAAAGGTAATTGGTTACCTTGTTCTGAAGAATCCTTGAGCCTCTGTCTCAGCGACACCAGCAATCCCAGGGAGCCGTACCTTTCCAGACAGGCTCTCCGTATGGCGAAGAAAGCGCTGCCTGTACTGGGTGTGCGGCAGGTTTGAGCTCTTTGCAAGGGTAAGTGCGAAGGCCTATTTATGGTATTTTTTTTTCTTGGTAAAGACGTCTTCAGAAGTCAGATAGGCACTGACAGGGAAATTGTGATAGCTTAAGCCTAAAATAGGGTTTTGCTAATACAGGAGAGCGTGTTGGTGCTTGTATGTGGATATGCAATAATTCTGCAGGTAATCGAAATCAAAGCGGGCTGAGCTAGGGTAAGTAAGCAAAGCTGCTGAGTGGAATAGCCAGGCTCCTGAGCTTAATGCAGGGAGGAGGTCCATGCTTTTACAGGTGTGTCTGACTCCAGAGCTGGCAACTTGGGGTGCAAGACAATCCGGGCATGTGGCTGGGTCCACGTGTGCTGACTTTCTTACTGGCTGCTGCTCCTGCTGCTGGAAAGAGCATGTGGACGGCTGTCGTCAGAGTTGTACCGAAGGAAAACGCAAAGGGATGACGCCAGTTTGGCTTTTTTTCCCCCCCTTTTTTTTTTTTTATCACTCAGCTGCACTGAAGCCCGACGCCTCTGGTAGCCAGCGGTGGAGCAGTGAGAAGCTGGTTTTGTTGCTGCGCTTTTACGGGAGAAGCTTGGCTGCGTTAACTCTTGCAAAAACAAGCACCTAGGTAACTGGAACAAAATCCAGTGATGGAGGGCGGCTCCACAGAAGCCAGCAGCAGCTCCCAGGGAGGCACCGGCTGGCTGGATCCTACCCTTGTCACCTGCACTGAAACAGTGACTTTCACTGAAGTGGTGGCAGAAGAGGAGTGGGGATCCTTTTACTATTCTTTTAAGGTATTCTTTTAAGGCATGCGTTAGTTTTCTCACATGCTTGCAGCTTTGGTGCGTTTTCAGCACCTCTGTGGGGAGGCAACTAGGATTATTGAACTTTTTTGCCCAGATATTTGTGTCTTTTTCCCTCTGCAAAAACAGCGGATAGCACGTGTGAGGCATTTCCTGAAAAACAAAATAGTTGTAGGAATTAGAGTTCAGACTTTCAGGTCTTAGCCAATTGTATCCCCTTCCAAGAGGGGACGGTACTGTTTTTCTATAGAGGTATTGTAATTATACATGCATCTTTAATCAAAAGTTTGTATTAGTACATCTTTTATGTAATTTCTTATAGCCGTCATCTTGACATAAGGGATTTCTTTTCAATTTTCCAGCTGCAACGAACATTGTACAGAAATGAGAGGGGGTTTTGTTGTTTTGCATTTTTTTTTTTAATCACGAGGGACAAGTTCTAATTGGTTGGTTTGTTTGTTTGCTTTTAACTTGAGTGGGGGATGCAGTGTCTGTTGAAGGCTGCTGTTAAGAATGCACCAGATGAATCATTCAGTAGTGAATGCTGTTGAATGACATGGGAAGTGTATTCATTCATCTCCCCAAACCAACATCACCCTTGCAATATGTGAATGAAGGAAAAAGATGAAAGCGGTACTGAAATTCATCTTTCCTTCAGATTTCTGTGCCTGTTGTCATCGCTTAATTTCATGCTGGATGCTGTGTGTCACTTTACTGTTGTGGCACATTGTACAAGTTAAGTTCAAGTTCTTAAAAAGCCTGACAAGGAGTACCCTGCCATTCCTTCTGGAGCTCAGGACCAAAGAGATGACTTTCAACTGGAAAGATGTAGCCACTTATATCATTTGACAATATGTTAGGTAAAAGAGGGTATGTTCAGAGCCAATTTTGATTTCTGTGAGCTTGTTAGTGCTCTGACACACCACCAGTGGAATCAGTGGAATTACAACAGGTTTCCACCCCTGGAAAGGAAAAAGTTGATCTGTAATTCTACAATTAATGAGGGTCTCTTTTAACATGCTGCTGATACATTTTTGTTCTTGATTAAGACAGTACTTTCTTATCTAGGATTTCAAGGATGAAAATTCTTTTTTTCCCCCTCTTTTTTTTCTCTCCATGTTAGACTCCTAAAATGCTCTTGAAAAAAACGAGAAGCGGCAAGCAAAATATTTTTAACAACTTTCTCTTTATCTCCTTTGTTCTTTCCACAGTTAGGGCTGTAAATCTGAACAATGTCATGGGAGCAGTATTTTATAGTGGTAAAAGTGACAATTAATTCCATGATTAGAAAGTCCCCAGGCAGAAAAATGCTCCTTAATAGAGGAGATTGAGTAAACTACAATAATTAGGAAACCATGGATAGTCATGCATGCATGCTTGTCCATTGCTAAAGGAAACTTGATTCCATTAGCTGAGAGCTTCTCATTAGACTTGCACTCTGTCGGATGTCTAGCTCTGGCATATATAGCGTGAACTTTGCAAGGAGGTTCACTGATTTCACATCAATTACTAGCTGTTGATAGGCATGGAAATATTTTGACTCTGGAGACAAGTGACAGCTGGTGCTGCTGCAGGAAAGGAGGGATAAAGCACCTGCTCTGACGACTACGGTGCAGGGAAGACGGGGCTCCCTGCCAGCAATTTCAGGTCCCTGTAAAAGCTCATGTGTGGAAGGTGCTGCTGACACCTGCTGCCTCGGTTGGCTGTCCTCCACCAGTGCTGCCCACATTGTGTCCATGTCCTTGCCCCTTCCAGCAAGCCAAGCAGGGGGCTGGTTAAGCAGCTAAAGCGATAAAAGGTTCAGCTTGGAATTGGGAGAATGGATTAAAAACCAGAGCTCAGTGCTCAAAATGTAGCTACAAATGGGGCTTTGGCCTTTTATTGGGATTTTCAAACACGTTGTAGCCCATGGCTGAGAGTAAAGGCAGGCTGGATGAACGGCCACCCCACAGGTTGACTCCAGAGCCTGCGTGCCAGGATGCAGACAAGGCACACAAGCTATTTCTGCTTGGGAAATGCAGGTGTAACCTATCTTACCAAAGCAGTCATAGGAAAACACCATCTAAGCCGATAAATGGAGACGAGGGAGTGACACTCACCCAGTACCTGGAGCAGTTCCTGTGTTAATGACTTTTTAACGATTTTACCCAATGACAGCTCTGTAGCGTATTTCACACGCTGCTCGAACTATGGGAGCATGCGCTGGTTTCTTTTTTTCCTCCCATGCTTCAGAAGGACAGCCTGTGCCTACCTAAGGTAGTGTCTGTCTTATACTGTGGTGGCAATGTGACAAAAGTGAAATAATGTGCCTTAGAGCATTTCAGTGCCAAAAAGTCCTGTTACAGGCTGAGCTGTGAGTGCTTCCCTGCTCCCCCTTTCAGAAGCATTTGAGTTTCTGTCTATTCGTCTTCAGAGCTTAACAACTAAATCCTGCACCGCTTCAGATTAGAAAGCATTTTGCCAGTTCAGTTAGATTTCTCCTTTATTTTTTTTTTTTTTTTGGCTGGGAAATGATACATTTCATCCCCTTGGAGGAATGCACATTTCCCTTCTGTTAGTCATTACAGTAGCTCCTTGGCCGTTTGCTCACCAAGGCTTTGCCCATGCAGTCTGCTTTGGGGCCTTGGCCATGTGTGCTAACTAGGCTGGCTCTCAGCGTGCGGAGTTGCAGCCTTTGGGGCAGGATTGGGTGCACCCACGCACCATGCAGCACGCAAGATGAGCTGGTGCTTCCCACGGCAAAGGCACTGGCTCATCCCCACCTACGTTCAGGTCTTGCTGCTGTGTTATGACAAATGGTCTCTGAAAACCCAGACCGTATTTCTTCCCGGGTGCCTTTACATGACACATCCAGGTAGGTTACTGTCTTAAACCACAAGAAGTCCTGTTGGCTGTGTCAGCACCAAATTCAGAACAGATGTGCAAATTGGTATTAATTACAGCACCAACCTCCCAGGCCAAAGGAGAGTTCATTACATCCCTTTACAATCTCCCCCATATGCATTTAATCTGTGTGTAAAAGGGCTCTAAGCGAGTGTCAACCGCCCTCTGCCAAATACAGTAATCCGAAAAGAACAGAGACCTGAACACCTGTGGCCTTCCTCCTCTTTAGGACCTTCTTAAGTCTACAAAGCTGACAAGGTGCAAACCAGAAACCTGCCTGGAGAGAAGTTGAAATCTCAGAATAGGTTTGCCCCGCTTGTCCACAGGGTTGGGAGGCTTCGTCAGGGCTGGAGGAAGCACCTCCCCTGGCCAGGCGCCCAACAGCCCCGAAGCTTCCCCATTGGTAGGAGCATGTACTCGTCCTCAGCGAGGATTGAGTAGGGCTCACCTCTTTTTTAAGAGGTCTACTGAGAAACGGGATGCCCTACTTTTATGCAATAGAGTAAAGGTTGGAGTGCTCAAAAGGAGAAAAGTTCCAGCTGCTGTTCCTTTCTCGGTGGGACTGTGTTCCCACCGTCACCTCCTGCCTCCCAGGAGAGTGGGCTGACTTCCATCATCTAGTACATTTTCTTATTTTGTTTTCTGATGTGTAGAGTTGAGCCCTCACCTGTGCAGCAGGACACAAAGGTTTTGTCGTTTACATCACAGGTTGTTTGGGAGCCCCAATCTCTCCCCTGCCAGGTGGGAACCCCAGCCACTGGTCCACATGTTGATGTCCCCCTCCCTCTGGCCCCATAAGCCCTGGTCCCTGTGCCATGCAGCATCACCGCAGCAGTGACGCTGAAGTGCTAGAGCTTTCAGGAGGAACAATGTTCATATCGAATCCACCGCAAATGATTTTACACATATAATCTAAATTCTCAGTTTGTTTCAGGAAGGACTGTTTGACTCTGCCTATGACTGTCCTCACCCACACTGTAGCATTCCCTGTACCTGCATGTTTTAGCCCACGTAACTCAGATATTAAACAGGTCTGCGTAGCCGTGCCAGAGTAAGCACAAATCTAAGAGCATGTGCGGCTTACCCGTGGAGCCTAATGCTCGTTACAAAGGTCAGGGCCTACCATCTTCAGCAAAGAGCTGAGGAGACCAACGCATGGAGAGAAGGTTTGCATAGACTTGTTTTGTAGGACTATCAGGTAACAAGGATTTGGCTCCAGGTGTCCTCAGAGCCTGTTTAAGTCAGAATCTGTTGTCCCTGTCATTTCATCCAAATGCAGGAGTCTATCTCCTGGAAAGCATCCGCCTATGCTATTGCTCATTCTGATTTTCAAGCAAACCTCACAGAGCATCCCATCATTGAATACATAATAGAAAAATAATAATGGGTGCTGTCAAATTTCTGGAGTAATCTCTGCAAATGCAATCATACATTTTAGAAAAATAGGCATATCAAATAATTCATAAGTAACTTTGCAATCTTCCGGTGGGGGGAGAAGAGGAGAATTAAGTCTACACAAATAAGGTGTCAGGAACTCCTGAACGCAGCCTCTGCAATATGCCATAATGACTGTTGCTATTCCTGAGATGCTGCACTGAGAATGTAATAGCTAATCTCCTTGTGAAACAAATGGGCAGTGCTGTTGGCCAGGCTGGCTTCATCTAGTAGCTTAAATGCAACACAGAAGTGATCTGGCTGTATGACAGCCCGACTGGGGATAGCTCTGAGCCAACTGATTTGGGCGGTTTTATACTAGCAACCCTCATACTTCTGACTCCATGGTCCACACAGCCATAGGGTTTGCATCTGTCTGCCTCTCCAATATAAATATGCCTAGAAAGTATTAATTTCTCCAGTTTTTTGAGATGTTTTAATTGTACAGATTAGGCATACTTAATCATTTTACCCCTTTTTGTGATTAAGATAAAACAGCATTTCACAGTTTTTAATAGGGCTATAAAAATCATGCTATTATGGATGGACCATTGAGTGACCTAATATTATCTCTTCCTGTTGAAAGTGTTCTAGGAAAAAAATAGGTAGGTACACCATGAGAAATGTATCTTTTCTGATGACATTAAAATCAGGGATATCTGTTTGTCTAATTC